TCCACGCTCAGAATGTAAATATCAACATGTGAGCAGGGCTGCATGTCTAACCAATGGGTATAAATATCAACATGTGAGAGTCATGTGAGCCATCCTGGAGGCTAGCTAGCACAATTAGCTTTTTACTAGGCCCAACTTTATTAGGGTTGGACTCAGTTCTTCTAGCTGTCTTCTACAAGAAGGCCTCCCACTGTCCTCTGTCCTAGGATTTCTCTCTGAAGTTCCTTTCTGCCCACCACTATGTCTGTGACATTTCTTTCTCCTGAACGTGTCTCCTACCCGCCCCTCCTGCAGAGAGCGGACCCCTCCTCTCCTGCCCTCCTCCCTTCCCAAAGCTGCCCTCACCGAATCTACCTTTATAACTCTTTGCCAAGGTTTGTTGTCCAATCTGCAAAACAAAATGAGAAGACCCAGAGACAAAGACAGATGGGCAGAGCCGGGCGGAGAGGAACAGGCAGGTTCATAAGTGTAAAATATCGACAAACCTGCCATCATCCATTCCCAGGGACAAATAGATCATCGCCAAATGGGCTATAGACGAGCAAAGAGACAAATTACCCAGCTGTGGCAGTGTCACCTGCTCCTTATTGATGGGCTTTTATGCTCAGACCCAACTGCTCTATGAGAACTGTATTATTCAGCTCCTATGGGACCCCAAACAGGAGGGAAAGGGAAAAGAAAGCTTTTTTTTTTTTTTCTTGAGACGAAGTTTCGCTTTTGTTGCCCAACCTGGAGTGCAATGGCGCAATATCAGCTCACTGCAACCTCCAACTCCTGTGTTCAAGCAATTCTCCTACCTCAGCCTCCCGAGTAGTTGGGATTACAGGCGCATGCCACCATGCCTGGCTAATTTTTTGTGATTTTAGTAGAAACGGGGTTTCACCATGTTAGCCAGGCTGGCCTTGAACTCCTGTCCTTAGGTGATCCGCCTGCTTCGGCCTCCCAAAGTGCTGAGATTACAGGAGTGAGCTACCGTGCCCAGCAAGGAAGCTTTTATGTCTCACCTGGGGCAAAAGCCACAGAACCAAGTCCCAGCCTTTCTGGATTATGCATCATATGCAGATATGAATGATATGCCTTTGACACAGTGCCACATAAAAACATTAACAAGCCAGGCACAGTGGCTAATGCGTATAATCTTTGGGAGGCTGAGGCAGGCGGATCATGGGGTCAGGAGTTCGAGACCAGCCTGGCCAACAGGTGAAACCCCGTCTCTACTAAAAATACAAGAATTAGCCAGGTGTGGTGGCTCACACCTGTTATCCCAGCTACTCAGGAGGCTGAGGCAGGAGAATCACTTGAACCTGGGAGGTAGAGCTTGCAGTGAGCCGAGATTGTGCCACTGCACTCCAGACTGGCCAAGAGAGGGAGACTCCATCTCAAAAAAAATTTAACAAAGTGCCACTCTGCATATAGATTATAAATAATACAAATGCTAGGGGAAAAAATTAACTCTTTAAGTATGGAAAAATTTCAAAGCTGGAGTGGATTATAAACTGTGTTTATGCTATTGCCACAAGGTGGCGCCACTTTAGCAAGAAAGCAAATGCCCACATCCTGTCATTACTGAGCAAATGACACGGTTGTTGACGTGCTTGGGACACTAGCAATTGCTTTTTGTGCTGCTATTTGGCCAGGCACTGTTATTATAAACCACTTAAAAAGGCTATAACGACATCATTCAAGCATTCCTGAAGGAGACAGGCTAGTGCTGAAAAGCACGTCCTCAAATCAATACCTTTGGAGTGGATATTGGACATGATGAGACACCGTGAAGAAGACTGAAACACCTCCATGACAGGTGGTGCTGTTAATTTAGAAGACTGCCTGCAGGTACAGATAATGCTGCAAAAATACAAAGCAGGATCAAAAGCAAAAATGTGGTGAGATGGTTGTGCAGATTTACGAGCTATGTGAGTGCATTTCAGCTCCTACTCATATTCTTGGAACACAAAGTTTTGAATCGTGTGAAATTTACAGTAGGCATCCTTCTTGTAAAATATGACATTCGAATTAGGGAGGTTGGCCAGGCGTGGTGCTCACTCCTGTGATCCCAGCACTTTGGGAGTCTGAAGTGGGCAGATCACCTGAGGTCAGGAGTTCGAGACCAGCCCGGACAACATGGTGAAACCCTGTCTCTATTAAAAATACAAAAATTACCCGGACGTGGTGGTACATGCCTGTAATACTAGCTATTCAGGAGGCTGAGGCAGGAGAAGTGCTTGAACCTGGGAGGTGGAGGTTGCAGTGAGCCCAGATTGAGCCACTGCACTCCAGCCTGGGCAACAGAGCGAGACTCCACATGCCTTGGTCTCCCAAAGCACTGTGATTACAGGCGTAAGCCACTGTGCCCGGCCTGTGAATGGCACTTTTAATACCAGCATAATATTCTATCACATCTGTTTTTATTCTTGGCGCTTCCTGACCTCCCTTCTCAGAGTCAAACCCGCATACCTAGCTGGACGTCCTCCCAGGAACATTAAATTTGGCATTTTGGGCCAAATTAGCCAAGTGCCTAGCACCTGGTAAGTCCATAAAAATGAGCTATTACCGATCATGGGTGTCACTTTTTAGTCCCTGCTATCTGATCCACCTCCGTTTGCTGCTACTCATTGCGTTCCCAGTGTCACTTATTTTCTGTTAGCAGCCTTGGCCCTGGGTTAATGGCCTGATTTGTTGTCCTTGTGGGGATCCCAGAAAAACCCAACACAGCTCTCCCACCTGCAGGGAAGAACTGAAGCAACAATAATGAAGACATTCCCATGCCAAGCCCATTCTGCCCTAAACAATCAGTTTTGGTGGGGAGAATTTGCTAGCAGAAGGCAGGACGTAAAGTTCTCACAGCAGCGTCACTGGGTGTGCCAGCAAACCATTCGAGACCTGGCCAGTGCTTCCTGGCACTGCAGGGGTCTGTGCAGAAAAGATAGATTTATACCATTAATATACCGTTACAGTAACAATGTCTGCTGAGTGATCTAGAACTGTAATTCATATTTCCTGAGGCTGTAGTAGGCAGAATTTGGAAGCAGGGCAGCACAGTGCTAACCAGCAGGCTTTGGGTGGGACAGACCTCGGTTTGAGTCCTAACATTGCTTTTCACTCTCTGTGTTATAGCCAGCGAGTGGCTGCATCGTATCTCTCAGTATCTTCACCTGTGGAGTGGGGGCGGGGGGGGCGGTGACGCTAACATCAGCTAACATTTACGAAGTGCTTATTGTTCAGTTAAAATACAGTAGACCAGGCACAGTGGCTCACGCCTGTAACCTCGGCACTTTGGGAGGCCACGGCGTGCAGATCACCTGAGGTCAGGAGTTCGAGAGCAGCCTGACCAACGTGGTGAAACCTTATCTCTACCAAAAATACAAAAATTAGCTGGGTGCGGTGGCAGGTGCCTGTAATCCCAGCTACTTGGGAGGCTGAGGCAGGAGAATCACTTGAACCCAGGAGGCGGAGGTTGCAGTGAGTTGAGACCACACCATTGCACTCCAGCCAGGTCAACAAGAGTGAAACTGTCTCAAAACAAACAAAAAAACCACAGTAAATTGTCTCTATTTGACTACTAAGAGCTATTTTAAAATAGAATTGTTAGTTATCTAAGTACAGAAAGGTGTAATTCTCCCGTTATAACCCTTGATGACACTAAATAAATAATACATGAATATGGTTCAAAAATGGGCATCATAAGGGCCGGGCGCGGTGGCTCAAGCCTGTAATCCCAGCACTTTGGGAGGCCGAGGTGGGTGGATCACGAGGTCAAGAGATCGAGACCATCCTGGTCAACACGGTGAAACGCTGTCTCTACTAAAAATACAAAAAATTAGCTGGGCATGGTGGTGCGTGCCTGTAATCCCAGCTACTCAGGAGGCTGAGGCAGGAGAATTGCCTGAACCCAGGAGGCGGAGGCTGCGGTGAGCCGAGATCGTGCCATTGCACTCCAGCCTGGGTAACAAGAGCGAAACTCCATCCCCAAAAAAAAAAAAAAAAAAAAAATGGGCATCATAGAGTATAAAATGAAGAATGCTTTCATTTTCCACCTAAATATTGCAATTTCATAGGATGCCAGGCTCTGTGCTAAAGCCTTATGTTTATTCAATGTGCTGAAATTCAGCAACCTCACGAGGTAGGTACAACCATTAATAATAATAATTCCAGGCCGGGCATAGTGGCTCACGCCTGTAATCCCAGCACTCTGGGAAGCCGAGGCGGGCGGAACACCTGAGGTCCAGAGTTCGAGACCAGCCTGACCAACATGGAGAAACCCTGTCTCTACTAAAAACACAAAATTACCCGGGCATGGTGGCGCATGCCATCTAATCCCAGCTACTTGGGAGGCTGAGGCAGGAGAATCGCTTGAACCTGGGAGAAGGTTGCGATGAGCCAATATCGCGCCACTGCACTCCAGCCTGGACGACAAGAGCGAAACTCCGTCTCAAAATAATAATCATCATCATCATTCTAAAGGGAAGCTGAGGGATCTGGCGGAAAAGTGCCAGTAACCTAACAGGCCTCCACAAGTGTCCTTTGAAAGTTTGAGAAGCGTAGAGATCAGTATATGTTGATTAACTGCCAAACATGAATGCGGGTGTCCGAAACGCGATCCCCTGGGGCGCCACAATCGATGCCTACTTGAACCGAAAGAGTCCCTCCCTGGGACAAGGAAGGACCCAATTCCCGGGCCCCGGATCCAGCCTCTACGTAGTTTCCCAGGAAAGCCGCGCGGAGGTCCGCTGCCTCAACCAGTCTTGCTAGAGTAGGAACAAAAGCGTTCCGAGTGACTGCCATTGTAGCCACTCAACGCCTAGCCCAGGCCTGCTTTTGCAGTTAGACTGAAACTTTCCATTGGTGGAGTCACCCCAAGGGAGGCGGGACGGAGCGGGAAAATCCTGCCTACCTTGGCCTTCTCAGCCAATCGCAGCGTCCAGTTTGGTTGCGCTGCGCGTAGTGATCTGGGATACCTGAGGGCGGGGCCGGGAGCAGGCCCCGGGCGGTGGGGAGGGTACGCTTCCCGCGGGCGCGCGGAGTGACGACGGTGACAGCCACGCGCGCGCGTACGCGCCTGACTGCCGCGCGGCCCCGCAACCCCAGTCGGCCACTGAGAGGCGCGCGGAGTCTGGGCCGCTGCGGTCTAGGGTTCCAGTCCCGAGGCATTCCCGGCATCTTTGGCCCCAATCCCGGAGTGCCAGGTCGCGCCTGCACGGACGATCTCGGTTCCCTTGCCCTCCCTGCCGCCGTCAGGGACCGCCCCTCAACTCCCCTTTCCGCCCGGGCAGGGTCCTCGCGGCCCATGCTGGCCGCTGGGGACCCACGCAGCCCAGACCGTTCCCGGGCCGGCCAGCCGGCCACCATGGTGGCCCTGAGGCCTGTGCAGCAACTCCAGGGGGGCTAAAAGGCTCAGAGTGCAGGCCTTGGGGCGCGAGGGTCCCGGGCTTGAGCCCCGCGCCATGGCCGGGGCCATCGCTTCCCGCATGAGCTTCAGCTCTCTCAAGAGGAAGCAACCCAAGACGTTCACCGTGCGGATCGTCACCATGGACGCCGAGATGGAGTTCAATTGCGAGGTAACCGGCCGGCAGTCCCGACTGCCGCGGTGACAGTCGAGGTGGAAGCTCGAGAGGTTCTGTTTATATCATCTTATGGGTGTAGCTGGAGACGGGCAGAACCGGAAGGGGCCAACTAGGCCCAAAACCTCGTGTTAAAGATGATTGCTGCTTTTTTTCATGGGGCTTTTGGGTTTTAGCATTTCCTGAAGGTTATTTTCATTCATTGTTATTGGAAGAAGCTGGATGCTTCTGTGATAGCAAATTCAGTGTGAGGTTTAAGGTAGGCTTACGGTTAAACGCTTGAAAGTTTATAACTTTATTATATAATATTGTTATGTTCCCAGGTATTAAAAGTTGCCTCTTGTTTATTGGAAAGCCTATACTTGTTTCCCTTTTCCAAAGCTTACATATTCTGGAAAAAAAAAACCCTTTGAGGAACAAGATAATATCATTACTTTCCACATAGTTTCCAACATGATGATCACAGCTATTAATTGTTCAGTATTTTCAAAGTGCCAGACATTTGCACATTTAATCCTCAGATCAACACATTTATCCAATAAATGGCAAGGTGGGGTTTTGAACCAAGCTCATAGCCAGTACAGTACTGCTTCTCTAGTAATTTAAGTTCTTGCTACTAAAAGTGTGGTTTGTGGACCAACAGCACTGGCAGCAGTAAGCAAGGGTTGGCATGTTTTTTCTGTACAGGACCACATAGTAAATATTTTCAACTTTGTAGGCTAGAGAATCTCTGTTGGAGCTATTCAACTCTTCAACTCTACAATTGTTACACAAAAGCAGCCTTAGATAAGATCAGCTTCTTAGTGTAACAGTTTAAGGAACCCATTCCTCTGTAAAACTTGTGAAAAATCTTTTTTATTTTATTTTGTTTTGAGACAGAGTCTCACTGTCACCCAGGCTGGCGTGCAGTAGTGTCATCACAGCTCACTGCAACCTCAGCCGATCTCCCTGGCTCAATCAGTCCTCCTGCCTCAGCCTCTTGTGCCACCACACCTGGTTAATTTTTTTTTTTGAGAGGGAGTCTTGCTCTGTCACCCAGTCAGGAGTGCAATGGCGCAATCTCAACCTCCACCTTCCAGGTTCAAGCGATTCCCTGCCTCAGCCTCCCAAGTAGCTGGGATTACAGGTGTGTGCCACCATGCTGGGCTAATTTTTGTATTTTTAGTAGAGATGGGGTTTCGCTATGTTGGCCAAGCTGGTCTCGAACTCCTGACCTCGTGATCTGCCCAACAGGGCCTCCTAAAGTGATGGGATTATGGGCGTGAGCCAATGCACCCAGCCTCATCTAGCTAATTTTTGTGTTTTTTTGTAGAGACAGGGTTTTGCCATGTTGCACAGGCTGATCTTGAACTCCTGCTCACCTTGGCCTTCCAAAGTGGTGGGATTACAGACGGGAGCCACCAGGCCTGACCCAAAAATTCTTTTTTAAAATCAATGATTTAAACCCTCTGGCAATGGTCCTGAGGGCAAACAACAAATGCAGAAATACCATTTAAGAAAATCTGGCTGGGCGTGGTGGCTCACGCCTGTAATCCAAGCACTTTGGAGGCCAAGGCAGGCAGATCACCTGAGGTTGGGAGTTCAAGACCAGCCTGATCAACATGGTGAAACCCCCGTCTTGAAGAAAGAAAAAAGAAAAAAAAAGAAAATCTACAAATTCAGTAAGATAGATGAGAGGCTATGGTATGAACTAAGATCATTCCCTCCTCACCCACTCCTAGCTTAGTGAGTAGAGCTTCTACTCCAGACTACTGCAAACTAACACAGGGCACCACTCCCTCAGCTCCCAATCAGATGCTTTCTTCCCAGGAAAAGCAAGATATCAGCATTTCTCATCCTACCCAGAGCTACTTGTTGCTGAGGTTAAAACCTGATTGAGTGCAACTGAAAGTTGGAGCTTCCTTCTTCCACCTAGTCACTACTTGTGGAACAGGACTGTGCCTTAGGCATGGCATACTGAAATTACTGGGGCCCCAATTGCTCATGCCCTAGTTCTGGCAAGCTAAGACCTCAGGTTATTTATTATTTATTTTTTATTTTTTGAGACGGAGTTTCGCTCTTGTTACCCAGGCTGGAGTGCAATGGCGCGATCTCGGCTCACCGCAACCTCCTCCGTCTCCTGGGTTCAAGCAATTCTCCTGCCTCAGCCTCCCAAGTACCTGGGACTACAGGCGTGCGCCACCATGCCCAGCTAATTTTTGTATTTTTAGTAGAGACGGGGTTTCACCATGTTGACCAGGTTGGTCTCGATCTCTTGACCTCGTGATCCACCTGTCTTGGCCTCCCAAAGTGCTGGGATTATAGGCGTGAGCCACCGCGCCCGGCCTTATTTATTTTTTTTTTTGAGACAGAATCTCGCTCTTTTGGTCAGGCTGGAGTGCAAAGGCATGATCTTGGCCCACTGCAATCTCTACCTCCTGGGATCAAGCGATTCTCCTGCCTCAGCCTCCCGAGTAGTTGGGATTATAGACGCGTGCCACCATGCCTGGCTAATTTTTGTATTTTTAGTAGAGATACGGGTTTCACCATGTTGGCCAGGTTAGTCTTGAACTCCTGACCTCAGGTGATCCGTCCACCTCAGCCTCTCAAAGTGCTGGGATTACAGGCATGAGCCACCGCTGCCAGGGGAGACCTCAGGTTATTGCAGTCCCCTGCCTCCTTCCACCAAGTGCTCAGTTCCTAGAGTGAGGGTATCTCTCAGAGAGAAGCTTTCTACAGTTTCCACAGTCTTCCCACGCAGCTCCAGAGCCTTGGCTCCCAGATTTTGCCTGAGGAGAGAAGCAGGCCTTAAAACAGATAGCTCCTAATCTCTTTCCAATGGAAGTGACTTCATTTGCAACACAGTGTGGAGAAATTTATGCCTAAGGGCAATCTGGAGATGGGAAGGTTTTGGTAAGAGGCAATTGGGAGATCAGTGGTCTTGGAGATGCAGCCTAGACTGCAGGGCTCCTGGTTTGCTGGGAAGAACTGGGGAATAAGACAGCTGGGAGAAGCCCTCCCAGGATCAGAAGGATCAAATATTGACCACAGGCCAGGCGCAGTGGCTCAAGCCTGTAATCCCAGCACTTTGGGAGGCCGAGACAGGTGGATCACGAGGTCAAGAGATCGAGACCAACCTGGTCAACATGGTGAAACCCCGTCTCTACTAAAAATACAAAAATTAGCTGGGCATGGTGGCGCGTGCCTGTAATCCTAGCTACTTGGGAGGCTGAGGCAGGCACATGAACCCGGGAGGTGGAAGTTGCAGTGAGCTGAGATCATGCCACTGTACTCCAGCCTGGGTGACAGAGTGAAACTATGTCCTGTCACAAAAAAAAAAAAAAACAAAACACTAACCACAGACCTCTAAGATGATAGATGTTCCATCTGCCCTGGTTCTATCATTATACATTGCATATTCATGCATCACAATACCACGGATAACCCTAACATATGTATAAGTATTATGAATCAATAAAAAACAATTTGAAAAGTAAAGTATGTGACAGAGGTAGAAAAAATTGCTTTCCTCCAAACAGCCACAATTTGATTGTATCGGTTTATAGAGCAAGAGCAAGTTATGCTTCAGTGCATTGTTGAAAATAATAGAGCAATAAGCCACAATTAGTGAAACTTCATAGCTGGGTGTGGTCAAGGAGAGAAAAGAAGAGAACCCTACCAAAACCACTGTCATCCCAGGGTGAGTATGGGCATACCCAAAGTTGTACCTCCCTGAGGAGCAATATCATAGGCCTTAACACTCTTCAGGAGAAATAGATTTCACTCAAATAATCCAGCCAGGCACTAAACAAATAAATAACAATTAGCCCTGCAGAAGGGTACCAGTCCCCAGACTTGCTACAGTATATTATCTAAAATGTCCAATTTCCAACAAAAAATTGTGAGACATACAAAGAAACAGGAAAATATGACACATACACTGGGAAAAAGCTGGCAACAGAAATTGCCTGCGAGACAAGGGGCCAGATTTAATCAAAGAAGATTTCAAACTAGCCATTATATATGTATATATTCACAGTATTAAAGGAAAGGATGTTATTGTTGAATCAATTAAAGAATATCAATAAAGTTATAGGAATTATAAAAAATGAATCAAATCAAAATTCTGGAGTTGAAAGTACAATAACAAATTTAAAAATTCACTAGAGGGCCGGGCGCAGTGGCTCACGCCTGTAATCCCAGCACTTCGGCTTCCGGCAGATCACAAGGTCAAGAAATTGAGACCATCCTGGCCAATATGGTGAAACCCTGTCTCTACTCAAAATACAAAAATTAGCCGGGCGTGGTGGCACGCGCCTGTAGTCCCAGCTACTCAGGAGGCTGAGGCGGAAGAATCGCTTGAACCCAGGAGGCGGAGGTTGCAGTGAGCCAAGATTGCGCCACTGCATTCCAGCCTGGCGCCTGGTGACAGAGCGAGACGCTGTCTCAAAAAAAAAAAAATTCACTAGAGGGACTCAATAATAGATTTGAACTGAGTGAAGAAAGAATTAGTGAATTTGAAAATAGATTGATAGGGTGGGCACGGTGGCTCACGCCTAATTATATAGGTCAGGAATTCGAGCCTAGTTTGACCAACATGGTGAATACCCCATCTCTACTAAAAATACAAAAATTAGCCAGGCAAGGCGACATGCGCCTGTAATCCCAGCACTTTGGGAGGCCAGGAAGGCAGATCACGAGGTCAGGAGATCCAGACCATCCTCATCAACACCGTGAAAGCCCATCGCTACTAAAAAATACAAAAAATTAGCTGGGCGTGGTAGCGTGCACCTGCAGTCCCAGCTACTCAGGAGAATCGCTTGAACCTGGGAGGCGGAGATTCCAGTGAGACAAGAGCACGCCACTGTACTCCAGCCTGGGTGACAGATCGACACTCCGTCTCAAAAAGAAAATGAGTGGTAAGATACAAAACTTTACCCCGTATCTGCTTTTGGGCACAGTTCCGTGGCATTCAGCACGCT